TGTGTGTGTGTGTGTGTGTGTGTGTGTGTGTGTGTGTGTGTGTGTGTGTGTGTGTGTGTGTGTGTGTGTACGTGTAAATATATCTAACTCTAGGAACATCTTTGTATCCTTTTTTTAGATTTTAAGGGAATTTTGTCATTTCAAGATGGCCATCTTCTAAGGAGTCACTGTGCCAGGAGTGCCAATTCAAGAGGCGCCCCAAATAGTTTTGATTTGAAGGACTACAACAATTATTCCACATGTAAGGAGGGCTCTTTCCCAACAGGGAATGCCAAGACATCCGAGGAGCACGAAAAGGGGCTCAGTGTGGGACTAATCTGGCCCTACTGGCTTACACACACAAAGATTTCTGTGCACTCACAATACACACTTTGAGTCTGTGTTTCTTTGTTTCCACAACACTGCGTGCCCTCCTCGCCAAAGGAACCAAATGGGAATCGTGAATTAAAGCACTTGCCTTCAGGCGCAGTGGACCACGAGAGCTTCTGTGGCTTTTTGTCATTCTGGAAGATCTCATTTTAATGAAAGGCAGATACTTGAGCAAAGAACAGTCCTTGTCCTTGCTGTCTTTGCGACCGCGCTTCGAAAACGATGAGGTCCAACACTTCTTCATGAACTCAGACATCTATGGTAAATGTCTTGAACTAGCGGGATAGATTTTTAGAATGCACCCGTCGGATCTGATTTGAGTGTCAAAACCATCAGACCAAAATGGTTGGTTGCTCGTCAAGAAAAAACAGTCAGCTCAACTCTGTGCTGGGTTTGTTGGAATGAAAAATATACAGATTAATTATTCTTGCTCATAAAGAAAGTACATCCCAAAGGGCCCCCGTGACGCACAAGAACACAAAACAGGAACTCCCTGACACGAAAGACCCATTGAGCACTTATCCAACATGACTTCAGAGTTATGGCGATGCTGTGCGGGAGACATTTGAAATGGCCTTGAAGAGGAAGTCATAAGACAGGCGTTTTTAATGAGCCCTGACTTAAAATTACGATGACTCTTTGACTACCGAAGAATGAGAGGTCGGTATTCCTGCAGACAATTAAATGGTTCTTTAGTCAAGATTCACTCGGTTTCTCATGAGAAAAAAGCTGTAGCCTCAGTATTTCATGGTTACTTTTTATGTACAAAATTGCTTAAATATTCCCTTAACAACACATGATGAGCTTGTGGCCCAAAAGCACAAAGGAACTCTTATTTGGTCAGACTTACATTAACAGATTATGGTGTTTGTGGTTTCTGCCACTCAGGAATTAAAATTTGTTTTACTGGCATGCAACTTTCAAATGAAACGTAATTATGTGGTCAGAATACAGAAGGTGATATTTATAGGGAAAGGCACAAAAAAGACATACCGGTTTAGGCTGAGGGAGGAAGTTGTTGACCCTGGAGATGCTCCAAACACCCTCGAGGTACTGTTGCGCTTGGATGGTGACGGAGCTCAGGGATCCAGTGAATTGACCTCCTGCTACTGTCACCTGGACACTGGTCTTGGGACCTGACGGGACCGAGGGGTTCTGGGACCAGCGCGGCTCCCGAGGCTGCTCTCCCAAAGGCAGGCTTGAGTGTGGGGCAGTTTGGCCTTTGGACACTTGGTTTGCATGGATGCTGGAGGATGACGCGGCAAATCTCGAGGGCCGTGGGAGCAAGGAAGACGCGGGCAGGGCCGGCATGTCGGGGCCGAGGGCGAGGACGGTTGCATTGAGAGTCTGCAGAGCCTCCTGCTTCAGTTGATGGAGAGGCGTGAAGCACACCTGACAGCAGGTGACGGCACCTTCCTTGCGCCCAGATGTGTGGAGCTGCTCCAACAGAAAAGCTGCATAGCCCGTGTCCTGTAGCATGAAGAAAACACGCATAATAGGTTTGCCTTCACCCTTTGCATGAAACATCCAAGTGCAAACATGCTGTTTGTGTTTTCCGTGAGTATCAGTGGCCCGCTTGCTGTTCTGTTACCATGTTTGTTCAGACCGAGCCATTCTGTCTGCATGCAAGCAGGCTGTTGATCAGCCATGTGTGAATTTCATTGTGTATTCTGAGGAGCCAATCAAAGCCAAAATAATCCAAAAACATATGAGATGACAAAGCGAGGCTCCAGTGGATTTGTACAACATCCCACTGAGAAGCCTCATTAAAATCCGAGGGGTATTTTAATATATTTTGCAATGCTTGAAACTGAGAGTGGTTCATGTTTCTCCAGCTTTTGGAAGCAGTGTCCAGTGAAGTTTTGCCCTTTTATTTCAGTAGCAGGAGGGTTCCCTAGGGTGTTCCTCTCTGCTTGGGAGGAATGCTGAGGGAAAACAACAGTTGAAGTGAATCTGGCACCCAAAGCTATACAATTTACATATGATAAGTGTCTCTGCGTGAAAACAGATGAGAAGCCAGCAAATGTGAAAATAAGCACCTCCAAAAGCTGGAGGCACACTAAGCTGAAAGCCAACTATTCAAATTCGACCAGAGACTAGAACATCCATTTTAATACAAACAAACACACTACAATAGGCACACACACAAACACACACTCAGTGTCTCTTAAGAGGCATAAAGGGGCATCAAGCTCTAGCTCAGTGGAGTCATGGCCTAAGACAGAAGCCCACAGCCCAAACATAAATGTTTATGAGGCCTTTGCTCTCTGGACCCTCGGAGGTGATCAGGAGGAGTGAGGAGGAAACAATAATCCAGTACCCTAATGCAATGCCACTTAATACATCAAACCCAGAAGACACCTAATTCATTGGACCCAAAGGGCACTACAGTATCGTGAGCAGCAAAAGACATCTAAAAATATGAGCACAAACTCGGAACTAAGATTATTAATTGAGGCAGTCCAGCAATGACTGTGATTGTGACTGAACGGCATGCTGGCATGATGTTGCTGGTTGATGATTTTCTACTGGCTTTACGCTTCAGCAGGTGAGAGTAGATTCCAAGCACAACCAAGACACATAAATTCTGACTGCAAATGACAAACTAGGCATGTGGCCAGCTCAATTACAAATTTAATATAATATGGAATCAAGTGAAATCCTACTGTCGATATTCATGCCCAGTACAAGTGGCGCATGGCGTGGTCTTACCGTGCGAAAGCAGACTACAGCAAGCGTTGTTTTTTTTTCCACAGACAAACTTAGCTTGATGCAGTTAGGAACGGGCAGTTTGTGCCGTTGTGGGCTTCAACACAGCCAACTTGCTTCAAAGCCAATGGAAGCGGTTCCTCTCATTACCATTAAAAACAGTGCATAAGAGATGTGCGGTCCTTGACATGGCAGAAGCAGAAACTGATTTGCTGGAATCCATGCAGAACGTCGAAGCACCCAAGTACATTTGCAAGGAATGGTGAGCAGGCATCAACGGGCGGATGTAAAGTTGGCCAGGTTGATCACCGTTTTGAAGAGCGTATTTGAAAACTACGTTCCACCCACCACCCCCATGGCTGGTAATCATGTAATGCATTCAATAAATAGATTTCTACAATGAATCAAAAGTTACACTGCACGCATGCTGTTGTCATTTTTATGACTGAAATATGATGACATCCACCACACATGCCCGAGTGAGCTCACGATCTGTCTGCCTGACCACAATCACATTCACCCACATGTGATCGCCAAACCACCAAAATGCTTGGACGTGGTTCCAACGGGTGTAAAGTTTAGCCTACTTTCAATCACCAAATTGTCATGGGCGCCAGAAGCGTGTCAAAGGATAAGCCCATGGTACCGCAAAATGCATTGCATGCCGCAGAGTCGTCTACCAAATTCCCAAAAACGCTAAACAAGGCTTGAACCAGGACGAAAAGCGCATCTGCGCTGTCTTCAAACGTAGAGCCTTATATTTAGATTCGATTTTAGATTTAGGCTCGAGAGAAAGTCCTTGATAAAAGCTAAAGAAAACTGCACTACTGTACATTGCTTTCCCAGGCAGAACATTGAAGCCCTGTCAGAACCAGTTAACTCTGTCCATCCATTCACTCTCCTTTACCCTTCGGCAAACCTGTTACCCACCTCAGGGCAACGGTAGATGGAAGAAATCAATTCCCCTGCCGTTCTCCATGGATTGTTAAGTGTTGATTTAGGAGAGCTAATAAAAAAGGCACACAAAGCTGAGCCCATCTGCTATTCAGTGAGGTTTTGGGAGGTTAGAGAGCAGGCTTCTCCTGTAAAACTGTCCGCAAGCTTTATGCCTAGCAGAGTGAACAGAGGGTCAGGGCCACAAGTACGTGAGGATGATGGTGCTGATGATGTGAGAATGATAAAACTGAAGGACGCGCTGTCCATCTGCATAATAGGCAGTGAGGTCCACAGTCTTTGCATATGAGACTATAAACTTAAGGAGAATGCCGGACTGGCCCAACGGCAAGGCTGTTTTGTTAACTACCCGTGTGATGCATTATTGACAGGTGTATACGAGTATGAAGAGGATGACGTCTTTGGAGAAGAACGTAATGCGAGGCACCAGTGCAATCCGAGCGTTCAACGCATTCCTGTTGACGAGGAGGCGTGGCGCTACGTCCTGAATCTGAATCGCAAACCATTGTTCTGTACAAGTGGGGGATGGTATCGGTTTTCAAGCCAGGCTCACTTGCACGGGTGCAGATAAGAGGAAAGACAGAGGAAAGGCGGGCAGAGGAGGTAGGCCAGGGTTGTGGCCATTTGCCTGGAGGCTTGTGGGCGGTTATGTTGGTTTACTGCCTGTCAGCATTGATCTTTATTAAACTCTGGGGACAAATGTAGTCAGATGCCGTGGCCTTATTATGGAAAGGAGGTTGGTCGAACGCTGTGGGGGAAAGGCAAACCTGCCTCTGTGAAATAAGCACTGCACAGCCCTGAGAGACCCAAGTTTGTCACTGTCTTTGATGCAAACAGGGGCAGAGCATATAACTGGATGGGTCTGCAGGGTTGATGTGGTGTCATTATACGCATTGCATTCCCACAGGCTGATGGAAACAAGCTCAGCCTTTTATGAATGTTAGGACAAGCGAATAGACTTCATAAAAATCACATCAATTACTCCACCGAATAAGTGCATCTTTTCTTGAAGCAGAAATAAAGTGGAAATGTGTCGATTCATTTCAAATGGTCTGATGTGGGGTTGACTTCGCTCACAAGAAGGTCACAACGATTTCCCTCACTCGTTGAAGGGCACGCTTCATTGAGGCTAAAACCGCTCTGTGAAAAAATATTCCAGTTGAGGCCATTTCCCTCCACTGCCCATCGTGGCAGCCAAAGAAATGAGGACAAATTGTGCCAATATGCATCGCTAACATATACAAAAAATGGAACTGAAATAGCACACCTTAAAGATGTTCGAAGTCCTGCCTGGTGCATGATTCATTTTCTCAGTCCACATATAGCTTCAGCCAGAATTAGTAAACAAGTCTATATGCAGTACCACCTCTCTGATTCAGCAAAACTATAGTAAATTGAAAAACAGACTACTTTGTCTATTAAAAGATGACTTTAACTCAGTCTTTACAGTACATTTCCAGGTTCATTTAAATGATGACCGTATTTTTCGGATTATACGTCGTAACATATATAAGTCGCCCTGGAGTATAAGTCGCATTTTTGGGGGAAATTTAGTTGATAAAATCCAACACCAAAAACATACATGTCATCTTGAAAGGCAATTTAAAATAAAAATAAAATAGAGAACAACAGGCTGAATAAGTGTACGGTATACTAACGTTACATGACTGACATGCCTGGTAATGTCAGTAACGACACAACATATTAAGAGTTATTCAGATAACTCTAGCATAAAGAACATGCTAACAAGTTTCCCAAACTATCAGTTTTACTCCAAATCGCTAAATCCAATGAAATCTTCATCCTCGGTATCACTTTTAAACAACTCCCCCTATTCGGGAGGTAGACGATGCGCCGCTTCCTCTTCTTCGTCGCTTACGTCAGATTCATCGTCAATTTATCAACACAGGACGAGAGCGCCCTCTTGTGGTTTAATGTGAAAATAACGTGAAATAACTAATCATGTGTTAATAATTTCACACATAAGTCGCTCCAGAATATAAGCCGCACCCCTGGCCAAACTATGAAAAAAACTGTGACTTATAGTCCGGAAAATACGGTATTTGTATGACCGAGACTCTCCTTATCAAAGTTTATATTCACACCAGCACAATGACTGAGCGTATAATTAACATCAAGACCCCACAGTGCTCCCATCTTGTTTTGGTGTTTTCTGATCCCCCAAAAGGACAAGACTTGAGCCATCTTTGTTTACTCGGCCTTAGACTTTGTTGACCCTCAACACACACCGAGTCCATAAGACTCAAAAGGAATTGACCCCCAATAAATCTGCAGGGGCCCCAGTCCAGGTCCTTGGCTGAGGATGAGAGGATCCAGCTGATCGGCGTTCCCACAGGTAGCTTGGCTCCCCTGAACAGCCAAATGGGAGAAGGGCGATCACAGCTGCCAATCAAGCCCCAAGTGGCCACAAAGCATTCGGGCAGATTACATCCCCAGGATAAAAGAAACACATCCAGCGGTGTAATCCCTCTCTGCTCCCACCCCCTTTTGCCCTCCTCAACTCACCGCAGCGCCTCTCTGACCTGCTCTCCAAAACAGACGACTCTGCTCAGAATCCCCTCCAGGAAAGCGGCGGGCTGGAAGGCCCGCAAGGACTGACTTTGATTAGATATCAGGTGAAGCTTTTAGTGGCACAGCAGTTCTGTGGGATACACACCATTAAATTTAACCACTGCCTGCTTGGAGCCACGCAACACAATGACTCAGGATGTCACACTCGTGTGCTACTCTGCCAACTGTGGGAACGCCTTCAGTGGAACACAAAGCTGCGCGGCTCTGCAAATCAC